GATACCAACCGTGTGCACCTACGGTCGCTACGCGGGTGAAAATCGTACACGGTTGGTAATCGTATAATGTGAAAGGGGCCATAAGCTCCAATGCGTTACAACAAATACGATTAATAACCGCACGAGCGAAATCGTATAGTGTGAAAGGAGCGTTAGACACTGGTAATTTTGGAAGTATTTTTTTTTAATAACAGCAATTTTTAGGTAATTTGGCAATGCATTGAAAAACACTATACCGTTATAATAAATAACAAAAATTAAAAGGGTGGTTGAATGCTTTGGTATCTGTGGATTAAGACTGTTTCGCAAAGAATATGGGCATAATCTGGAACTTGTAAACATAGTAATGTTTTTTTTTTTTTTTTTTTTTTTATAAAAGAGAGTATATACATGGAGATGTTAAAATATTTGAATACGAAATAATTCTTTGCAGGAAGTTCGCAAGCTGAATTTGAAGGGCTTAATAAACTTGAATGAGTATTGCCACAGACAATGGATAACCCATTTTCTTTGGTGTCGCGAAGCAGCAATATTAGGTCATGTTAACAGTTATAGGGTTTTATAATTTTCAAAAATAAATTATTTAAATATGAAATATCAATTTCCATTTTTTTGCAGCCATCGAGTGTAGAGCTTAAAAGACAAACAGATTTAATGTTTTGTAGTTTTTTGTATGATAAAGAATGTTTCAACTAATTCTCAAAAATCTCTGAACATTTAAAACCCTTATAGACAATAGGTAAACGGTTGTAATTTACAGTTTTATTGAATTTTGCCTGATTATTTATCTTAACTATCTACATTTTATTAAAAACACGTTTTTCTTCCCTGTAGCAGCAAACCTATGTACAGTAGGCCTTCTTGTTTGTTAGTTGTTAAACCTGATGTTACTGAAATTGGGGAAATATTTAATTAAAAAATGTAATCGGGCAAATGGGAGTTCGGAGGTGTAGGTGGAGATGAATGTGCAGTACAGTATACACCAACTCTAGCGGTGGCGTTGGCGGTAAGCGACTGAAGTAAGTCACGTGACGGATTACGTCATCTGTCTCAGTGTAAGTTGGTTGGGAGTCGGAGAGACTATTCTGACTATTGATCACCCAGTACCAGCGCTTGCTCGCGCTCGGCAACCTTCGACAATTCCCGCCCGAGTTCGGCGTTTCAGGTCAATCTATCAGCACGGTGCTATCTCGTGTGTTAAGATGACATTTATTTTTTATATTCCCGTCACCGACAGTGGTTATTTCTACACAGCCAGTAAGACGATCAATATTTATGCCTGCTTTCCCTTATAGCTGTAAACTAGTGTCTGTTGGTGTTTGCCGGGTTCGAATGTTCGAATGTTTTGAGCGGCAAAATTGATTTGTAGCTTGGCGGCTTCTCATCCCCAGTATGATCTTGTAAATCTTGAATTGCCGCTGCAATGCTCTTTGGCGGTTGTACGTGTTTAGAATCCCGGGACAGCATAGTTTTACACGTTAATAATTGTTTATTTAACTCGCAAAATTGAAATAAAATAAATACTAATTTTCTGTGTTTATTAGAAATACAGCATGTGCATTGGTATTTTGTACAAAATAGAATTACATATATTATTCAATTTAAAATCCCACAATAAAGTGATGACCATAGCTCTTTTGTAAGATTGTCATAAATTTGTTTTTAAAATAATTGGCTTTTACGGTAAAAAGAATTTGTTAACTGCAGTTATGATTACTAATTACATGAAAGCTATACTGAGACAAGACAGAAACAGTATCACGTCAGACCTAGATGTCAGTATAGGCATACAGCATTAAGTTAGATCTCGGCGACAGTGTGATAAACATATAGCAAGAGCAGTGATAAAACATGTCGTTTGATGTTTGTTATGCTGTGTGTAACGTTGTCTTGCCTAATTTCATCTTTTGGCAAACTCTGTGACGTAGTGTTCTGCGCTTGCGCCGAGTCGGATTAGGAGTGATAAAATTGGCAAAGAAAAGTCAAGTATTTGGTATGATTAGTTGATAGAGTTTGGCTGATTTGGTGATCTACAATGCCTATACAAACAAACACTACAATACCCCCGCCGCAGCAAACCTGCCGACTGAGCGAATTTACATTTCTGAATTGATTTCCAATTAAATATATTTCAATAACATTAGGTTTAACGAGTACCTAGGTTTTCTGCTACAAGGAAACTAATAAAGTGTGTTTTTACTCAAATATTAGCTTAGTAAATTTACAATTATGAATTATTTGTGTTTTAAGCTCTTTAAAGAGGTCTAGAGAGAAATTGGGAAATTTTGTGTTTTGAGGGTCTAAAATTAGAAAACCCAATTTTTACCCGATAAAACCCCCCGTAAAACCCTGTTCCCATTGTCCGATCATGCTGGTTCGCGAACTCATTCAAGTGTATCCTGCCTTACACCTTTAAACCAAATTTCATCAAAATCCGACTAAAAATACTCAATTTATCGCGTTCACGGCCACACACATATATACATCACATAGGTTCACACATAGGTTCGGCGAAACCTATAATTTATAACATATATCTAATACCACTTATACCGTGTATTATCTATACACGGTAAATATATACAGGGTGTTTTTTTAAAAACTTGCATCTTTATTGATGTAAAAACCGCAATAGATAGAAATATGCAGTTTGCGGGAATCATCTATTGACGTAGGGGGACCAATTGTTTTGAATTCAACGTTACATTCACATTCCCCCCCTTTCCCCCCCTGACCCCAACTTATTTTTTTTAAATAGCAAGGTACCCCTTGTGACATATCAAATAAAAGAGCATGAAAAAAGAAAATGTTTGATGAAAAAAAATTGAAAATCGGTTCATAAATTTGTGAGATATGCCCCCCCTCAACCCCCCGGAACTTAATTTTTTTTAATAGCAAAGTACCCCTTGTGACATATCAAATGAAAGAGCATGAAAAAAGAAAAATTTTGGTGAAATTTATTTTTTATTTGTACCTTGCTATTAAAAAACAAGTTATGGGTAGGGGAAAAGGGGGGTGATTATCTCACAAATTCATGAGCCGATTTTAAATTTTTGTTCACCAAAAATTTTCTTTTTTCATGCTCTTTCATTTGATATGTCACAAGGGGTACTTTGCTATTAAAAAAAAATTAAGTTCCGGGGGGTGAGGGGGGGGATATCTCACAAATTTATGAACCGATTTTCAATTTTTTTTCATCAAACATTTTCTTTTTTTATGCTCTTTTATTTGATATGTCACAAGGGGTACCTTGCTATTTAAAAAAAATAAGTTGGGGGCAGGGGGGAAAGGGGGGGAATGTGAATGTAACGTTGAATTCAAAACAATTGGCCCCCCTACGTCAATAGATGATTCCCGCAAACTGCATATTTCTATCTATTGCGGTTTTTACATAAACAAAGATGCAAGTTTTTAAAAAAACACCCTGTATATTTGAACGAATGTTTTTTTGGTTTCTGGGGACAACAAAATGAAAAAGTAGACTAAGTTATATATTCCCCGGGCCTAGGTCTTACCGTGCCACCTACGGTAATAGCTACTTCCATTTAGGGAAATTAGCTAAAATTGACTTTACTGCAAAGATTTGGCAATACATTGGGCGGGAGTTGGGCGTACTGGCGTTTGTATTGGGTAAATAGCCGGTTATTACCTTATACATTTAAAGCTGTATTTGTATGGTGTATAGTTTTTGTATTTTAAAAGTAGTTTAAATAGCATCGCGTCGTCCGCTGTGCGCACACACCGGTAAAGACGAATTTGTATTAAATGGGAAAGGATAAATGTTATTTGACGGAACGGAACAATAAAAAACATCTTGTGCTGCGGCTTGTTCTTTTGTGCGCGGCGGCAAGGATAGATTTTATTTGACGGAACAGAAAAAGACAAAGCCGTTTTGTGCCGCGGCCCGGCGTGTGAGTTTGTGCGCGTCAGCAAGTCGGATGTTATTTGACGGGACGGACAGTACAAATCAAAGCCGTTTTACACCGCATCTTGTCCGTTTGTGCCGTTTTGGATTTTTGTATTATTTTAAAATGAATTTGATTTAAATTACATTTTTTGGGTTGGTTGAATTACACGATCTTTTTATATGGCAATTAGGTTTAAAACATACTTTATAAATCCGATAAACAGCTAAAATTGTACAGAAAATTGATTATGTTTCGGATTGTATCTGCCATTGTCAAAACATTGAAGTTGGATGAAGAAATCCTTGTCATTGTTTACTAACAAACATAAACACACATACACGAACGGGACGACGACATTTACGAAACGAATAAAACTTAATAGGCCTTCTGCATCCTGGCCTTCACCGCGTTGTGCGTCCTGTACGTGCATTTTAGTAATAAGCCTATTAAGTTTTATTCTTTCTTAAATGTCGTCGTCCCGTTCGTTTATGTGTGTCTGTGTGTTTATGTATATTAGTAAACAATGATAAGGATTTCTTCATCCAACTGCAATGTTTTGACATTGGCGGATACAAGCCGAAACATGTTAACAATCTTCTGTAAAATTTGAGCTGTTTGTCGGATAAAAGGTATGTAAACCTATTTATCATGTATAATATAACATCTCAGGAGCTAGAATGGAAATTAATTTTAACGAACTTTTAATTTATTAAACAATTTTCTAACCTGTAAAAGTTGACTTTGTCACACAATTTACTTTTTAGTCATTTTGTTGTTGTAATAAACACGTTGTAAATACTTTAAAGTTCACACTGTTGGCAAACCAGGTAACAATGGTCGAAAGGGAGTGCAAGTAATAATTTTTAGATGGTAAAATTGTTGATTTTACAAGAAACATATTTTGTACTAGTGCTTTATTTGCAATTGGAAAGTGTCCTCATAAAGTTTGTTTCTATTGTTTGCAACTCTGAATATAGTTTGACTTTGTAATGCATTTTTATGTCCACATAACACCCAAGTATACTTCTACATCTATCGAAAAAATATACATCACATTTTGCTCTTGGTGTAACATAACTTTTCTTTTCACAGAAAATGTGTGCAATACGTAGAGTAGATACGTAAACACCCTCCTGTTGCTATTAAAGAGGTAAGTTTGTTTGGTGAATTTCCTTTGTTATATAAAATAATTAACATGCCTAGTTTAAATATAATTATAATTTTTTACTCTATGACTTAATGTTTTTTATTAGGTATGTGCAATGTAAAATAATGTAAACCTAATGAAATATCAAATGGAAACTGTAAGCCTACTGATTTTCTTCCTTTGGTCTGAGCATTTCAAAACAGTTGTTCACTTTTTCCAAAATTAGTTAACTAAGATACATACTGTACAGGTACAAAAATTGAAACAAACAGATGATTCAGCCAAATTTAATTCCTGCTCAGTTATAATATATTGAGGTGTGTATTTTTTATCAACTTTATGACTTATTAATTAAATAGCAAATAGACTAAACATCCCAAACCAAACAAGCAAGTTGATAATAGTAAGAAAGCAGAACAAACAAAACAAAAAAGTTCTATAACTGCCTTTCCAACAAACAAAACGTTTTCTACCCAGAACCAAAATCTGAGTTATAAATAAAGTTCATTATCTTTCCCTTTGACGTCACTATTTCGTTTTTTGTTGTTTATTTATATAAAACTGCAATTATAAGAAATGAATCCTATTAATTTAGTCTTTTCCCAATGCGTGTAAAACAGAATATATTCATTGTAATGTTAGAGACTCCATAGATTAGAAATATCTAACAGGAATTACTTAGTAAAAAAAAATAAATAAATAAAGATATTAAATTTTGATTTTTGCAATTTTTTATGAATTAGGGTTGTAAATTAAAGAAATATCAGATTTTCAAAATAATTTGCAGAATTCCTCTTTTGCCTTTATGTGACATCTTATCACATCTTTATAGACATGTCGTCCATTGTGTTCATCTACCCTCTATTTTTATTAATTGTTTTCATCCATCACAATTGTTTTTCCTTGTTTTGACTTCCATACTCAAAGAGGTGGTTCACGAGTTCTTGGTTGCGTGGTCTGCGGTTATCGTTGATCTCGGCCAATTTTAACCGACGGCCAAAATATGGGTTCACGACATAGAGCGTTAGCCAAGACCAACGCTGGCCGTCGCTCAACATCAGGGATTTACGGGAAATTTTTGTTGGAAGGTTGGCAACAGCCACATGGGCCCCTCAGCAGGTTTAAGTTCAAGTCCAAAACCATTGTTATTTTCGCCTGAGATTATCCTATTCACGCTAGACCATGACTCATGAACCCAACAAGTTGATTTTTTGGCCCGGGGTTTTTTCTAATTGGACTCGTGAAGCCGACTTTTTGCGCTCAGGTTTATCCCTCTCATAAATTGGGTGAAGTTTATCTGTATGCGCCCGTTATAACTGGATTTTGCGCTCGGACTTAGGACTATCACTGACTCGTAAACCACCTCTAAGTTGCTCATTGTGTTTTTGTTAATATTTTTTTAGTTTTGTTCTGGTTTATGTACTAATATTTAAACGTAAAATTCGTTTAAATACTTTTGTCATCTAGGGGCGTGATCGGATTCCAGATTCTAGCAAAGACTTACTTTTTCCCATTCGGATTTCTTCAACTAATAAAGATGGAAAATTTCTGCATCGTATACTTACGCTCTTTAAACCCCTTTTGTTCCAGTTTCACCTTTATATCCTAAGATGTAACTAGCTAGGCTCTACCTGGAACTGTTTTCACGTTCCTTAAAAAAAATACAAATTACTTTATAAAAATATGAGTTATATTATTGTTTTTTAGGTTTTTGATTTCAATAATATATATATATATATATATATATACCCTGTATACCCTGTATATATATATATACAGGGTGGTAATAAAGTCCGAAGACAGTTAAATATTAAACGACAACAGATAAATCAATAAGATTTGGTACATCAACACCACACCTAAAAATCAACTTTTTTTTAGGAAATATCAATTTTCTGTCATATCATAGGGACGTCCTATAGCAAGGAGTCAGAAGGAAATCTTAAATCGAAGCATAGGTTGACATGTACATCAAAATAAAGGTCTTTACTAGCAGAATATAATGTCGCAAATTTGTACTAAAACGGACAACCGAGCCAAGAATTACAGTTGTTCAAAGATTCATTTAATTTGCATTGCTATTATACGCTTACTCCTCAGGGGGCACAGCCTTAGGAATCGGAAGAAAATTGTTAACGTAAGCATAGGTCGATATGCACATCAAATCAAGGTCTTCACTAATAGATTACAATGCCGTAAATTCAATCTCAAAAGAACGCCTGAGTAAAAAATGGCAGTTCAAAGATTTAAAATGGCAGATTCAAGAAATGTTTGAATGGCTGCCATTTTGTGCAGGATCAATCTTTTGAAGTGTGGTTTGCGGCATTGTATTCTACTAAAAAAGACCTTCCATTTGATGTGCATATTGACCTATGCTTCCATTTAAGATTTTCTTCCGCCTCCTTGTGGGTCGTCCCCCTGAAGAGTTATTGGATCACTGAAACAGAATATGTGTTAAAATAAAGTTTTATGCTCTTTAACTTTGTACCAAGTATTGTAGCTCTATCTACATTATTTTTTAAAATATTTAACTGTCTTACCCCCTTTTCACTGGTATTCCATACCCTCCAGAGCTCTGGATGTTTACCCCCCCCCCCCCCCCCCCAGTGATTACGAGCCACCACTGCTTGCGGACCTGTGGAAAATTTGATGCAAACCAAAATTGACACTCTGAAATCCTGGTGAGGATTCCTGGCTTAGAGGGTTGCCATATTATCACTGAGATAAATCCATTGCTGATTTGTGAGATTTGAACCCGCAACCTTGGAGATGGAAGGCCCCCTCAACCACTAGACAAGCTCGCTCCCCTTTAGACCTTGAATATGGCTTGTTGCAGGTCCGAAAGAGTTGCAAAGATGATGTGGCTACGTAGTGAAAAGAGATGTCGGCCAAGGCTGAGATGGTGTGGCCGGGGTGGAGGGGTACAGAAGGTAGCAGCCATCGACCACACTTCCGCCCGTGTATCCACACACAACTCTCGTGTCAGCCGTTGCGGCAGAGTTACAAAGTGGCGTAGAAGGAGTGGCAGTCTTCTCAAAGAGGTTTCTCATTCAGACAGTCTTACATAGGGTGTTAGCTTAATAGTTGGCCTTACATTAAACCATTGACTTTTGGACACTGAAGTAGACATGATCTATACAGCGTGTCAAGTTAAGAAAAGTGCTTTACCCTGGTAAGGTGTTTTATGTGTACAAAAACATTTTTTCCCCTCATATCCGTCATTTTGTTTATTTTTTACACAAAGAATCACATCTTTCGTTTTTTTTACCTATTTCTTGGAAATTGGCATTTAGTTAAAATAAATAAAAGAGATAGATTTATTGAAAAATTAATTTTATCCAATATAAAATTTTAAATTGCAGCCTTTTAAATATTCAAAGTCGAATTCCATGAAACAAGAGACTCAATCATTAATTTACATTTCATCACATTTAAATCCCTTTAAAATTCAAATCCAATGACTCTTTGATTGTAAAAATTGGTTAATAAAAACTAGTTATGACAATTTAAATGTCAAATAACAATGGTGGTAATTTTATTTTTACGTTTACAACCTTAAAACACCTTAAAGTACAGCATTTTGTTCACACTAAAGAAGAGTATTAATACATTTATGTACAGTTGCATATTTTAACTAGAAGTGGTGTGGTGGACTATCTTTGACAAGAACACCTATTTGCCTGCTAGTGATGTTTTGTATGTTACAGCAAGCAAATATGTTACTGACATTTATTTTACTGTTTTTAGATACAGAAGTGTTTAGCAGAAAAATCAAAATTCAATAGTAAAATTTTGACGATTGATTTTTTACATTCAAACTCATCCTATCCACTGCCGGGTGTCGGTATCTGGACGACTTGACGATCATTTCTCGATTCCGATACCAATGTTCAAGAACCGACACATAAAGAAGCTGTTTCTTTTTAATCTTTTCCCATCTTTTTTGCCCACCCTATTGAGTAATCAGCTGATTTGATAGAGCATCGATTGCAATTGTCTGCTAAACACGCATCACCGTGCAGACGATGCATTACACCACAACAACGTAACTCAACTCATAACACAGTAGCTCGTATTAAGTTTTCATATAATCAGTAAGATATAAACAGTATTATTAGTGGGTTGAACACGTTGTTGTACTTTGAAAAGTTTAAATAAAATATTAGCAAGAACACACGATAACTTCTAACAAGACAGCAACATTTTTTGTAAGTGAGTAAGGGCCCCTCCGCAATTGCGGACCTGGCCAGTCCAGGCCTGCTTAAATGATTATATTAACTGACAAGTTTCATCAATTAAATTGTATATTTTGACCCACTTCCTGGAGTTTAGTAACATCACTTGTTTGTTTTTCGTACCAATATAACCAATAACTATTTACATTACAGACATGCAAAGAAAATGTTTCACCCTACCACAGTCTCAAGAAAGGGTTTTCACGTTCGAAGAAGATTCTACTTGAAGATAAACTATGCTCAAAGATTTCTGAGAAAGATATTCAGGTAATGAGTTCCACTCTTAAATCATCAAGAGTAAACTGTAGAAGGAATAAACAATTTACTGTGAATACACGTTTTGCATTTAAAGCAGCGATTGTAATTTAGAATAAACATAAGTCTAACCTTTGCTTGGTACAAACACAAACCAAGGTTCAAAATTAAAATATAGCTTCAGAACTTAAAACTACAGTACAATAACCAGTGACCTAGCCAGTCCTAAATTTTATATTTTTTTGTTAATTTACACATAAAATTATATAACTATGCTGTTCTTTATTTCTTATTATTAAGGTAGAAATTAGTAAGCCAACTGGTTAATCATACTAAGATTTATAAATAGCCTATATATGTATTGTAAGAAAGGGGATTAACCCCGTACCCACGGTGCTCATCTAAGCAGACACTCTGTTCACATTACACTTAGTCGACCAGTTGGTGTGAACAGAGTTGAACAGTAGCATGAGCATCGATTTACAAATTCGTTTCCCAGCTGACGTGAGCTAGGCGATGACCGGTAGGGCTGACTTCCAAGAAACATCGCTAACCTATAAGCCACACACCCTATCGGTAATCAGCCAATGAGAAGGGCTAATGAAGAAGATGGAGGGGTAAGGAGTCTTGGAGCTGGAGGACCTGAAGGAAAAAATCGAGGAGATCAAGCCACGGGACGAAAAAATCGAGAGTTTCGGAGTGCATGTATCGGTGCGTGTGCTTCTGGGACAATAAACAGTATTGTAGAAAATGTTAACTTTTCAATAAGATTTACTGCAGCCATTAAACATAGCATTTTGTAATGGGCATTGTTACTTAATAGTTTTTTAAAATACAGTAATCATACATTCAAGATAATCATGCAATTCTAACACTCCCCCTTGCATTCAAATGTCTTAAAATCAATTATTACGTGTTGAATATGCTCTCATTGTGTTATAATATTACTTCATAAACCCTATTCTTTTTTTTCTCCTTGCGTAATTTTATGGTTTGTTTTAGGAAAATGAAGAGACAAAAGAGAATTGGCAAGGCTGTTTGCACAATAGCAATTCTGGAAACTTGTATTCAGCAAGCAACAACAACAACCAGAACTTGTCCTTGAGTCTGGTGCCAGAATTAGCCCACCTTTTGCATCTGAAAAGAGATGAAGATGGTAATTTATGTTTTATTTTCAGCTACCTAAACTGCCTTTCAAGTAGAGTAATCTTAATATTACAACTTTAAAAGACTCATTTTTATCTTATGTCATGTATGGTCAGTGGAAAATATGTTTTAACCAGACCAATCTTAATTGTAAGCTTAAATGGTTCTAAACTTAATTTAATGTTCAGTTCTTAATTATATTTATTACATGTTTTAAAACAACAAAATCTGAAAGAATCCAAATTTGCTATTAGCCTAACTCAAAACTAATATCTTTCATATATTGTAGTAGAAATAAATTTTACAAACTTTTAAAATGAAAGAGATTATAGGAGGAAAGTTTTTTAACCAGGAATATCTTCCTTTGGGCTCTATGTTTAATGAAACATTTACTCGCTATAAAAAATAACTTAAAATCTTTCATGATTTACAGTTGAGCTCGAAAGCCTAGATTGTGCTTACGAAGACTCTGATATGAAACTGAAGCCCACCAATGAAGAAGACTGCTATGTTTTCTATCCAGAAGATGAAGAGAATAACTCATCTAATCAGGTAAAGTAGACAGTAATTAGCTGATAGTTGCAATGTGTGCTGTCAGATTTTTAACTAATAAAACAGAAATTGAGTGTAGGATAACCTAAGCTTTTTTGTTTTATCAATTGTTCTTAGGTTATAGGCTGAATGAATAAATTGCATCCCAACCAAGAGAGGCTTTGTGTAGATAGTTTTAGATTTTTAGATGACATTAATTAAAATAATATATAAATCGGCTGTTGATATCTTTGAACCAAAATAGTATTACAATTCCAACTGAAAACTTACAAAAAAAATAACAGGTTATCTGAAAAGACATCCCTTCATTTTAGTTATTTGGGGCTTTACTATAACTCAATATTGGGTTTTAAACTTGTCTCCCATGATGATTGCTTTTACCGCAGACTAGCATGGTGTCCCAGTGCTCTACTGATGATGAGTGGGAAACATTTGATCCGTACCTGTTTATCAAGCACCTACCTCCCCTCACCTCAGAGATGAGAGCTAGATGTCCAGCTCTTCCACTCAAAACCCGCAGCAGCCCTGAGTTCTCTCTTGTATTGGACTTGGTAAGTGCCCATAATAGACTAAGGCTATGTGCTGTCATTTTTTAATTACCTAAGTAATTAGGTTTTCAAAATACCCTGGATTTTGATATTGGATCACGTTATTTAGAGATTTTTTTCTTAAAGAATTAAGCTTGTAAATTCAACAAATAAGTCTATTAACAAATATTTAAGCCTAATAAAGATATTTCCAAAAATAATACAAATTTGTGCAAAGTATAAACATTTTTTTTTTTTTTTTTTTTTTTTTGTCCTAGGACGCTAGGCACGAGCCTGGGATTGTTTTTCACATTACTTCAGGCTAGACCTAGGGGTTGCGGCATTATCACTTAGATAAAATCCATTGGTGACTAGGCGGGGATTGAACCCGGGACCTCAGGGACTGAAGTCCCGCGCTCTAACCACTACGCCAGCTCGCTCCCCAAGTATAAACATTATGCAATGTATGTATCAGATTTGTAACTTTTTTATCACAATGTTAATGCATTTAAATCAGTTGAAACAAGACAAATATTTTATTTTGGATTTTAAGTTACGCTTTTTGATTACCTAGATATCAAAGGTGCTAAACACAGTACGTTGCCCCCATGTTATCATTCTACTTTTATAAAACCTGGTAAACTTCATTGTTCTATTGTAGGCCTTAGAAATTCAACAGTTTGGTTCAATGTATAGTATCTGAGTGTAAATTTGGCCAACTATTTCATATTGTTGAAAGGCACATCAAGAATATGACTCCACCCTGTGTCAAAAGATAGTCAAAAGTAAAGATTCAAAACATCACAATATCATATTGGTTTATTACTTTAATATTTTTCAGGATGAAACATTGGTCCATTGCAGTCTCCAAGAGCTTGAAGATGCCTCTTTTTCATTCCCAGTTTTGTTCCAAGAGTGCAGCTACACTGTCTTCGTCCGGACACGACCTTTCTTCCGAGAGTTTCTTGAAAGAGTTTCAGCCCTGTTTGAGGTCATCTTGTTCACAGCTTCAAAACGAGTTTATGCCGATAAACTTCTGAATCTCTTGGATCCATCTCGTAGATGGATAAAGTAAGTGTAATTATCAAAATACCACTTGATCATTTTATTAGTGGTTTTTTGTAAAGTGCCCTTGGCCAAGGTATGTTTATCTATGGAGGAGTAGGCTTGTGACGTTTATAGAGGATGAGATCGCTCTTTGTTTCAAATCCAACAACCATTGTACTGTCCGTTATGGTAAAATGAGATTTTTGCACCATAATGTTTATCAGTCATGTGTGTATACTAATGAACTGGGAACATTAGGAACCTGGATACCTACTTAAAGCATGGCTATTCTAAATTATGAATTAAATAAATGCAATGTTGTTAAATATTAAGTTAATTTCACTCAATCTGTGACTATACCAAGAATATATCCACAGTAAAATCATATATTTCCTCAGTACTCTGCTCATGAGCTCACCTATAAGGCCCCGTCCTAGCTGAGCGGTAAAAATTCGGTCGGCGTTGCGTGCGTACGAATGGACCGGCTGGAAAACTTCAAACGCACGTTAACATATGAGAATGTCCTAGCTGACCGAACGATGAGATGGTTGGTGGTGCATCAACGCAGCTACCTGCGGCGAAACACAAACTGGTTTGTCTTTGGTCGTCAGTACGAATTTGGTTGACAGTGCGGCAATTACGAGATAGAGTAATCAACAGAGAGGCCTCATAAGATTTTTAGTCTTTAACGAGAAATCTCTTTTCAATTCACTGACTACATGATCAAAGGTTACAATTGACATCCTTGTATAGTTTGTGAATAATTCAGAATTAGTTTACACGAGGAATGATGGAATTCACCAAACTGATGCCTTTCCTTAAAAATTGCATTAGTAGGTGCTCTAGTTGCCAGAGAATTCTCAAGTTTTCCTCTTCAGGTAAGTATATGTTAGTGACGAACTATCAAGCAAAATAAGCTTACGCCTTTTCCCCTGGGATAGCATGACCACACACTTCCACTCACTGTTGAATTGTTTTAAAAGCTACTGAGACAGGGCCCTAGTCCCTGCCGCACCACACCCCCGCGACGACCAACGCAAGTTCCGTGTGGACACACTTTCGGTCGGTCGGCGTTGCGAGCGATGCCGCACGCACCGCCGAACGAATTTTTGCCACTCAGCTAGGACGCCGCCTAACGAGCCAATACTTATAAATAAAACACTATGCCATTCGACTTATTACTAAACATACACATACAACTAGCTCACTAAACTGATTACCATTTTTCTTTATATTGTTCCCTTCCTACAGATCTAAACAGTTGTGATAAAAATTTGTTTCTAAGTTTTGTGACAGTTAAATTAACTATGATTGCTTTCATAGCAGTGAAAGCCAGTTGAGCAAAGCGCTCACATTTCATGGTGTTTAGATAAAGCAATCAATTAAAACAACGTTTATAGATATAATACAACTTTTACATCAATTTAATCTATAAGTTTGTCTCAGAACTATCAACATCTAGGCTTATAACAAGTTTCATAAGTAAAGATGTGAACATTACGTACATATCCTTTGTACAGTTCTTTTTATATATTTGCTTGCTAATATCATCTGGTGAACCCACTGTTCTGGTTGAACCCGACCAATCGACACTTTCTCAATCTTGACCAGATTTGGCAATTCGGGCAGAAATAATCCTGTGTGGATCCATATGATCAACAGATGTTATTTTTTTTTGTAACTTTGAGAGAACAGCACAAATAGTTTTTACCATGCCTTAAGATCTGTTTTCTTAAATTTTGTACATTTAACACATGAAAAGCTTTGTTTTCAATATAGTGTTCTACATTCAAATAACTCAAAACATTACAAAAAGTAGTTGGTGCGTTTGGGGCATTTATTGCTCGTTTTAATTTTCTACAAATATCAGGCAGTTTTTTAGATGCATTCTGAAATTGTCCTAAATATGACACTCTTATGCGAATTAGGTCTTTTCTCGTAAAACTAAAACGTAAACAACTATTTTAGGTTTACTTACTTGGGCAATTATATACCCCAAGTCGTTTCCATCACGATGCTATCATCAAATACCCCCGCCGCAGCAAACCTACAGACTAAGCGGATTTCCGTTTGCCTGATTGGATTTACACTAAAATGTCTCCTTAAAATATCACATTTATTCCCTATTTAAATAGCATTAGTTTAACGAGTACTTAGGTTTGCTGCAACAGGGAGGGTAAAAAGGTGTTTTTTGTAAAATGTTAATAGTTTAGTATGAAATTAACACATTTTCCAAATTTGATCAAAATATGCTCATAAACAAGTAAACTACAACAGTTCACAATTTTCTCCATAAGAATAACATGGGAATTTTAAATTTACGCTTTTTTGAATTTTCTCCGCAACCATTAGGCATACAACAATGCTTCAATGTACTAAATTATTTCTTTTTTTAAGCTCTACAAAATGGTTGGGAAAGAAATTCCAAAATTTTATGTTTTAGGGTGAAAAATGGGAAAAACTTATTTTTACCCCAAAAAAACCCCCATAAACACCTATTTCCATAATACGATCATGCTGCTTCGCGAACTCGTTCGAACAAACGTAGGTTTACATGTTTGTATCAAATTTCACCAAAATCGGATGATTTTTGCTCGAGTTATAACGGGCACATATATAAATATATGAATTTGAACGGATCGTGTTTTTGGCCTCTATGGACCTCAAAACCAAAAAGTAAATCGGTCCCGGGTCCAGGTCTTACCATGAGTACTACGGTAATAGCTTATTCCCTATATGGGAAATTCACTAAAAGATTTCAAATGTTGCAATAGGTTGGGAAGTCTAGGACTTGTTGTTTAAACTCAGTGGGGAATAGTGTGTTTTGTTGATAGTAGCCAATTTACATAAATATCAATCTAACAATATGTAGAAAAAGTAGGATAGCAGCTAGCTTACCTTGAAAGTGTAGGTAGGCCACAGAACATGTAGAAAATACACTGTGCACACAATATTTCGTCCCCTGAGGGACTTTGTCAAGTGTAGAGAAAGAGTTTACAAATTAAGTTTAAATTTTAATTGGTGATTTAAAATTTGGCCACCAAGCTTAAGATAATGTTTTTATTTATTTTTTATTTTATTTTTAAACACCAACCTAAGTCGATATTGGCACACTCAAATGTTTCCACATGAAACAAGCATTAAATTGGTGTTTGTTTGTTGTTTTGTTGAATATCCAAATAGCTTTGCTGTGCTCCACTCAAAGCCTGTGTCACACTTGGCTACTTACTAGCAGCTACCTAGTAGCAGCTACTGAAATAGCAGCTACTTTTCCTGTCACACTTATTTTGGTAGCGTCTATTCACTAGCTGCTACTACTAGTTTAGCTCAAGAGAGGTTATGTAACAAAGACACGGATATTTTTTATACAGGTTCAAAAAATTAATCACATCTCCCCCACCCCACTTCAGATCACTCATGATTACTTCAGAAATTATTCAAAATGAACGAGAATAAACAAATCAGGCAGACAGCACATGGTGCAAGTAGCCGCTAGTCTGCTATTGAAGCTGTCACACTGGGCGACAGTCGCTACTTGATAGCTGCTAGTTGGTCACGTGACTCACTAGCGCAGTTTAGTAGCACGGAAAGTTGGACATGTTCAACTTTCCATGCTAGTAAAATTTCACTAGCGCGCTACTCTTAGTAGCTGCTACTGTCTATGTCACATTGGCTACTTAGTAGCTGCTATTTCGCTAGCTGCTAGTAAAGTAGCGTATTGTGACACAGGCTTAAGGTCTCACTTTGAATCTGTACAAGTTTTTTGTTCCATAAAATTCATAAGATTTTAAAATCATGTCAAACATATCCTTTTATAATTAATTTAAAATGTGTAATAAGCTAAATTCGTAAATTATCACTAGGCAAAGCCGTTAAATATTTACAGATAAACCCTAAACATTTTTTAACCCTAAATGTTCGTTTCTGTGTACGTGTGCGTGTTAAATGTATTTATTTATTATGAATTGACGACCTTCGAATGAAGCAAGAAGACATCTGTACTGGCCTGACGATGACTCCTTTGTGAGTAAAAACCGGTTGCAATTTAGCAACACATTGATCACATAAATGCAGGTATTTACACCATTATTTAGTATTTAAATGTGATCAGGAGGCTAAAATTCAATATAATGAAGATATTGGTTGTTTGTGAGCATTGTGTCTGTGTCAATGGTAACTAAATCAAGGATATATCAATCCTGGGTTGAGTGTTACCAAGGAAAACCGTTAATTACAGACAGTAATATTATTGTGCATTGTTACAGATATCGGCTGTTTCGTGAACATTGTGTCTGTGTCAATGGGAACTACATAAAGGATTTATCCATCCTGGGTCGAGACCTCTCAAAGACAATCATTGTGGATAATTCTCCACAAGCTTTTGGATATCAGGTGAGTTCCAATCAATACATTCCTATAAATAGTTGTAAAGGTTTCTAACCTTTTCTGGAAATAAGTTTTGACCTGATATTCTAGCACAATAAATACTCATTTATTATATTATCATGCATTTCGGTTGTTTAATAAATATCTCTCTGATTGTTGGATCAATCAACTATTGAATCAGTCCTTGCAATCTTAAAATTAGGGTAGTTAGGCCTTGAAACCTTGTTAAGATAAGTTGCTAAAGATTTATGTACTTGCTTCGTTAAGGTTGATCTCTACGTACAAGAGGTCTTTGAGATACAGGGCTAAAGTACCACTGTGGCATTATTATCATTAGTAGCCCTATTGCTTGCCAATTCATTACTGTTTGGTTGCTGGATGAAAACTCCTGTCCCTATTTAGATTTATATTTTAGTTTTGAGTGAAAATCAGGAAACTCGTTAAAAAACACTTTTTCATAGTAAATTATTGTAACAACTCTTATTTTTTCTAGTTGGAAAACGGCATACCAATTGTGAGTTGGTTTGTGGACCAGAGTGATTCAGAACTCATGAAACTGTTGCCTTTTTTAGAGGATCTGGTTTATTTGGTAAGTGTTCCAACAACTAGTTTAGACTTTTAAGTATTTTTTTTTCTACCACTGCATGGAAATGATCACATTTCCATACCTGTAAACAGTACATAAAATAGCTCATTTCCGCTTTATTCATCCTTGCTTGTGTTTGCAAGTGGGAATATTCCTGCTCGCTAAATCAGCTGATTTCACTGTTGACGTTTCTATAAAACACTAACATCCGATAAGTAAATAACATAACCTAAAATACCAAATATAATATAAATGACACTATATACAACTAAATAGTTAATCTGTGTGTTATTATAAGTTAATTATAGTGGTAGGAAAAATATTGTATATATTACGAGCACAAACAGTCATTGTCCCTCTCGAATGTATGGCCACATACAGCTTAAGCTTCGCGTGGTCATCTACAGTTCTCGAGCGACAATGACGTAATTTGCGCTCTTAATACACAAATAGATATTGTATGACTACAATCAAACCTATTAGCGTGTACATTAATAGAAATAATGACTAAAAATTTCATATTTTGCAACTGCGGTATTTTCTTTTCGTTGTCAGATGTTTTCATGGTATTTGTGACAATGGCTTAAGAACAGAAAAAGGTTCTGGGGTTTGAATGGGGGAAAATTTAACACCTTTAATAACTTTGATGACAGAGAAGCTTGATTTATTTGATGATTTTGAACATGTTTTATTGTTGGATGTATTTTTTCCACTGTTCATGCTATACAACCTTTCAGCTTATCCTACCATGTCGCTGGTGGTTTAGGTCTGATAATCAAGACTAAATGTAATATTTTTGTTCTGAAAGAGTTGTTCACTGAAGTTAATTTGTTCATTTTCAGAATGAAGATGTCCGGCCACACATCAGGGACAAGTATCGTCTCTTTAGCTTTTTGCCCCCCGATTAAATAGTCCAGACCTCTCGCTACTCTCAGGCCTTCTATACATTATTACTAATTGATAGCTAAACTGGTTAGTTTAATTTTAGCTTTACCAATTATTGCTGTTAAAGTTGTGTTTATTTATTGGTTTAAATTTTTTTTATCAGTATTGTCATTATAAAGCTTTGTAAAGTTCTGTGTTTAAAGATATAGAAATATTTTTTATAATAATGTTAAGCCATTGTTTTTATTTTTAATAATGTTTAGTAATGACAGAGTTAACATTTTTGAACACTGCTTGCACACAAGGTTTATATTATAAAAGTAGAAGAATAGTTATTGTAAAGTTATTTAACTCTATATTGTTAAAAACTCTATTAGAGAACCTTTTGCTTGCCGAATGTATTTCTTAGCCAAACTATCTAAAGGCTGCAAGCCCAAGCCATATTTTATAACACATTTACTTAGAAGGCTTTACTATACAAAGAAGATGTTTACTTTTACCCTTACAAGTTTATTTTGAATATGTTCTAAATTTATTCCAAGCTGAAAAATTTAGACCTTACCTTTATCTTTTTTTAATTTTTAACAATATTTCCTAAGAAAATCCATTTTAAATTTCCTTAACCAAATAGTTTCAAAAAGGTTTGAATAATACTGTTTTTATCTGAGATATCTAATATTCATCTCATATTATGTAGGTTTGCTGCCATGGTTGTATTTTAATGTTGTTTTAGGGCTAGATAAAAAAAAACTATAGAGTTTAAAAATATATTGTTAGTTGTATAGATATTTTAATGATTTAAAAAAAAGTTATATTGATATAATTTGTATTTTTTTTCTGGACTCATCCAGTTGTTAGGGATAGATATTCATTATAGAGGGTGATTAAAAAAGAATGACCCAATTTCAAACAGTTATATTTATTTCAAAAAACGGTACACACAAACAAATTTTTACATCAAATTACTCACAAAAGCATCTAGTTTATGATGATGTATTACAAGTGTTCTATGTGCCCTCCATTTGAGGCTTGGACGACGTCTAGATGGTAGGCAAATTCATCCCAGACTGTTCGCAAGATGTCTTCTCAGATAGTAGCTACTGCATCAGTTATCCTGATCTTCAGCTCCTCAATATCACGTGCTAAGGGAGGAACAAAAACACGATCTTTAACGTATCCCCACACGAAAAAATCACACGGTGTTATCGTTATGTCAGGGGACCGTGGAAGCCAGGAATGCATAGCCAAGTCTTGTGGTCCTGTGCGTCCTATCCAACGTTGAGGCAAGTTGGTGTTGAGGAAATGGCGTACATCCTTGTTTCAGTGTGGTGGTGCTTCAACTTGTTGAAAGATGAAGTTGTCAGAGTCAGGAATTAGTTGAGGTAATAACCAATTTCGTAGCATTGCTAGGTCAGATGCACCATTAAGACACACCTTCGTTTGTGAAACCACACAAAAAACGTTCACTTTAGGCGAATCTCGTTCATGCTCCACTGTTTAATGGGGGTTTTCGGTTCCCCATATACAAACATTATGTCGATTCACTTTACAGCTCACATGAAATGTGGCCTCATCACTGAATATCAACCGTGGCAAAAAGGTATCCTCCTCCATGTTGTCTAGGACATCATTACAAAAGTCAACACGTCTCCTTTTGTCACCAGCACGGAGCGCTTGTACGGGTTGCAATCGGTATGGTCGTAAGACCAAACACCACCTTAACACGCGCCACACAGAAGTCTGAGCAACTCCAAGTTCTCGGCGCTGTGTCAACGTACGCTGGTTCAATTAGAACTTCTCCGGAATCTGTTGAACTGTCTCTTCAGATGTGCGTGGTGGACCGGCACTTTTCCCCTTGCATAAACAACTAGTATTAACAAACTGTTTATACCACTGACGAATGTTCTTGGTAGAGGTGATTCAGCACCAAAACGAATCCGATACGCTCGTTGAACAGTGACAATTGATTCAGTTTTGCTAAACTGAAGAACGCAAAAAGCCTTCTGTTGAGTGGACGCCATATATTGTTTCAGACTTCCTAGACGCTCAAGGTCAGCGCTCTTGTTGACATCTAGCGGCGATTTTTCAAAACTCTAGACCTCTCCAGTTGTCAGTAATGCAGTTTCGTTGGCGGTTGTGCACTAAGATCCATAATATTTTAAGTTAAAATTGGGTCATTCTTTTTGCATCGCCCTTTATATTTTATATGACACGTTTTTGTTTTCTTAATACTACTCTTCTCTTGACTTAAATATTTGGTAAATGTCATGCACAACTTTCCCATGGTCTTTATCTCTAAGCTTGGGCCAAAAATCTCCTTAGCCTAATACAGGAATATATTATTAACAATTATCTTAAGCTTTTTTATACAAATTTGTGTGAAGAACTTTTCTGTAAAACCGAGCAGATTTATTAATACTTACACATTAAAGGTAATGATAATATTTAAATCTTAAATGGTGAATAAACAAACTTAACAAACAAAAGGATCTACGCAAAAAGAATTTCTGATCCACAAATATATTGCAAATACAGTGTTAAACAGGAACTAGGCAAATTTAAAACCCCCATTAAATTATTTATTACCTAATAGTGTTAACGAAATCTTGTCAAGTATTATTTATCTTATGGCTAAAGTAACCTTTCAAAATGAAAACTAAAATGTAACTGTGTATTGCTCTAGGAATAGATTTATATTTTTGTTTTAGATTTGCATAAAACCACATATAGTTTTTGAAAAGTCTTGATATTCGTATTTAAAATGCATTTTTTGTAGTTATGTGAATAAATGTAAAACTAACTTTCTTAGTTCATAGAAATGTTATCTGAAATGATTTTTTTCATGGAAATGAACAAATAATTGTAAAACAATGAGGGTAGCTACTTGGCCAATTAAGCTTACAGCATCAAGTTGGAGATTTTTGTGAAGCCGTTATTTTTAATTAAAAATACCCCCGCCGCAGCAAACCTGCCGTCTAAGCGAATTTCCATTTGGCTGAATTGATTTTCAATCGATCTATTTAAATAACATTAGGTTTAACGAGTACCTAGGTTTGCTGCTACAAGGAAACTAATAAAGTGTGTGTTTTAAGTAAAATAATTATTGCTTAGTATAAAATGAATATATTTGCCAAGTTTGATCGAAAGATATCCATAAACAAGCCAACTACAACATTTTACAATATTCTCCATAAGAATAACATGGGAATTTTAAATTTACAATTTTTTTAGTTTTCTCCGTAACCAATAACCGTACAAAAACACTTTGATATACTGAATTGTTTGTTTTTTTAAGCTCTTTAAGAAGGTTTAGAGAAAAATTGGGAAACTTTGTGTTTTGAGGGTCAAAAGTGAGAAAAACCAATTTTTATCCTATAAAACCCCCCATAAAACCCTGTTCCCATGGTCCGATCATGCTGGATCGCGAACTCATTCAAGTTTATCCCGCCTTACACCTTCAAACCAAATTTCATCAAAATCGGATAAAAATTACTCAAGTTATCGTGTTTACGGACACATATATATATATATATATATATATATACATATATAAAAATTTGAACGAATGGTGTTTTTGGCCTCTGGGGACATCAAAATGAAAAAGTAAATCGGTCCCGGGCCTAAGTCTTACCATGAGACCTACGGTAATAGCTACTTCCCTATAGGGAAATTCGCTAAAAAGGAAAACTACACAATTCATTTCTCATTGACGAGGTACTATATCAAAACACTTTTTTAACAAAGCTTGTATACCTTCAAGGTTTGATTAAATGGCATCATGAAATGTTCAAAACTGACATAATACCATTAGCAATCCCTTTCTTATTGATTCCTTTCAAACACAATTTCGTTTTAACCCAGAGAATTGTTGTATGAAAGACTTTTTTAACAATATTAATGACTGTATAAATGCAATAAACATTTAAAAAAAGTTTTGGACAAGCTACTTATCAATAAGTTATACATATACATTACATATCAACGCTTTATACATTTTGTTTTTTTAATGGCCTGTGTTCAGGGGGTCTAGGATTGCATTGCAAGTGCTCTCATTTAATTCTGTCATAAGAGAACACTATACATTATAATACATCAAAACATGCTTCATAATTTTCCTCCTTATGTCATTTCTTCGCTACTTAATGTTTGATTACAATTTTAAGATTAACATAAGTAGATAGTGCTTTTACAACTACCTAGTAACATAGTATTTTATTAGCTTTATGCCAACATTTTTAGTCTTTGGAAAAATACCTCTTGCACAGCTTTCTCCCATCCTATTAATTCTTTTAATTTTAAATTTGTTTATCGGGAAATCAGAAGAGTGTATCCTTCAGAGAAAGGAAAGTATGCTAGTGAGCTTATTTGTACAACTGAGCCCTCATTGGACTTGGAGTAGCACAGCCAAGCTTTATCTGAAGACATTTTCCCCTTCAATCTCAGTTCTTCCCATGTCTGTTGTGTTTATAGTTCTCTGTAAACTTATGTTCCTTATAGTGTTATGACTGTGCAGAAGGTCTCGGAAAATGTATGGTACTCGTAGTTAGTTCGTCGTCATTAAGTGTTGTTATTTTGTAATGTTTTAGAGGGTCCGCGGAATTGGCTAACTCTGGAACTCGCTAACCCCATGTTAAATGCCCTATCTTCAAATTTGGTCGATGAGAGGAACTCGCTAACTTGTTCGGTTTCGGAATTGGCTAACTCCGGAACCCGCTAACCCGCTCTAGAGCCGAGTTAGCGAATTCCGTCCTCGTACGGAAGTCGCTAACTCGGTCCCTCGGCGGAACTCGCTAACTCCCAATCAGAAGCCTCGCGGGCCGTCCAATGGGAGCCAAGCACGAATATTTTTGGCCAGTGTTGCCGAAAGTGTAGTACCTATATCGTATCGGCACCATAATGTCGTATCCTACGCTTAATTAAAAGTAAGAGCAACGTAGTCGATAAAATAAATATATTTTGAAGTATGTTTAACCACAGAGAAGTTCTTATGATTATTAGGGTGGAAAATGCATTATAGTCTTACCATAGACTAACCAACACAAGTAAACTTTACATCCCATTGTAAACTTTGAAGCTCGTTTTTCGTGTCTAGTTCATGTCCGGTGACACTGATCACTAGTGTCGACAAAATTGTCTTTCTATTATTTTATAGTTAACTTCATGATTTGTTCCTTACTGTTTGGTTATATAACTAGGGGACGTGTTATTAGTTGTGATTAGAACGTTTTATTTGGTTAAACGAGGTTTTAATTACTGAAAACAAGAAACAATTGTAAACAAAACACGACCTCTAAAGACAGTACACCGGACAGAACTAACAATACAACTGTCTTCAGATCATCCATAAGGATGAGAAATGTACTAATATAAGGGAGTATGTTTTATATGTGGGTTTCTTACTTAAATAGTAGCTTATTGGTATGAAAAAGATAAAAATGCACATTTAATTTGGATCTATTACATGTTATGAAATATCTATTTTCGTAGTCCGCCATTTGTTTTTTTTATTGGAATAAATACCATTTTGTGAACTTCTGCAAATAAAATTTTGATTTCGTATTTTATATACTGGGCTTGTAGTAACCTTAAATCATAAATCATACTAAAATTTACACGTTAAACGTCATTACAGAATTACATTGTAGTGGTTATGTATTTTTAAATAGAGCTATTGGATTTAAATAAATATTTATTAATACATTATAAAGTGGTAGGCCTAATGTATTCATGGATTGCATTAAAAGTTAGTCTATGCATAAATACAACTTGTAAATTTCTTTTTCGTAGGCTATTAGTGTAGAACCCGGGTCATCCTCTTAATTTTGTTGAATTAATATTAATTTTACGTCTTTCAGTAGGCTTACTTTTTAAAAGTCTGGAGTTTTTTTCCAGGCTGATTCTATCTTATCCAAAAACAAAGCTATTGTCTATTGTGTAGCTTAGTACTGGGGAACGGTGAACCGAGCAATGGCTTGGTATAGTTTATATCGTTTGTGAAAGCAATATAAAGGAAACCCAACACTCAAATCAGGAAAATCCGTCAATTAGTTTATTAAAAATCGTGAATTAAAATAACCCTGTCACGTTTTATTATATGAATATTATATCTTCTCCTATTTTTTACTAGTGGTGCTTAGGTGTACAATCTAAAAACTGTTTTAAAACATGTAACATTATTGCTAAAAAATTCAACACATTTTAGAATTAGGCAACTATTTACTAGTAGGCCTACAATGCTTTGGTTCAAACTATTAGGCCTAGATAAAAACTTAGTCTATGTCATCATATTTGTACACGTAAGTTGGACCGTTCAACGACGAACATTTAATTTAAAATCTATTAATTAATTATGAAAGTTACGATGGTTGATGACTGTATTAATTAATGGTTTTGGTTTATTACGACATTACAATTAAATCTGTTTTCCGTGTTTAAGAACTTGCGTGTATTTTAGCTTATTTTCGTAGAGGTTTAATTATTTATTACCAATTAAACTAAATTTTGAGTATTTTTCATATTCTATTATTTTCTTTTATACTGATGGCATTTATATTTAAGATCGAAATCATAAACATTTAACTGGCCATTGTACAGTTTAATAAAAAACACTTTTTCCTACAGTCACCCGACAAAGTTGGCTTCCTTGTACTGTTTATAGTACAGAAAGCTGCTAATTGCTGCATATTTATACTTTGCCGTACGGTTTATACTTTGTCGTACGGTTTATACTTTGCCGCACATCAGGATTCCAACTGAACAACACAAAACAGCGTGGTTCTATTATGCACGTAATCCGTGTACGCTTGGAAATAGGTTGGCAACACTTAAAGATAATAATACTATGAGCAGCTGATTGACTATTATAACTACGATTTAACCTGTCATTTCGTGTTTATAGTTTCGGTATTTCTGAACATTCTGGACTTTTCTTTTAAATGTTTTTAAAACATTCCTACGATCTTAATAAACAAGAAAATACCTTTAAAGCATTTTTTTAGGCGCGGAAACCACTTCAAATTACAAAAACATACGGAACTATATTCTCAAAACGCGGAGCACATTTCTTGCCGAGGAAAAATAGCGGAGTGATACGGACCGCGGGTACTACTTTCTCTAGGGCACCATTTGTGTTACCAGCTGAACCTAAAACCGTGTTGTATAGTGTTTGAAAGACTAATTATTTATATGTTTTATAGTGACTGTAGGAAAAATATAATGTGTAACACGAGTGAAAAAGGCCTTTGCTGCACTCGAGATCATTCCGCACGAGCCGCATTGCTCTCGTGTGCAGCAAAGTGCCACTTTCACCACTAGTTACACAAATAACTATTTCATGATTTTTTAATTGTCTTTTCATTACTTTGGGCTAGTTATCTGTTAAAAGTGGAATTGATAACAAAAAAAATAACATTTACTGTATCTTTATAGACACTGACATTTTGAAATACGGCAGTGTACGATTATTTTGTCGTACAAGGTTGGCAACGCTCCGAGCAGTGGGCGCGGCCGGGTTAGCGACTTCCAGAGTTAGCGAATTCCGCCGCGAGACAAAATCGAGTTAGCGGGTTCCGGAGTTAGCCAATTCCTGACTGAGACGGTTAGCCAGTTCCAGAGTTAGCCAGTTCCGCCACACGACCGAGTTAGCGAGTTCCTGAGTTAGCCAATTCCTACGTCTCGTTTTAGAAACTAATACAAACAAATCACAATCTACACATGTAAGTGTTATATAAAACTAACATTCAAATTTATATAGAAACATTATTTTAAATATAAATAATTTTAAGATTGCCCTAGATGTAGAATGTCTGTCACCTGTACATTTATTATTAGGCAATTTCGATGTGGAGGTATCTGTTTTCAAGCATAGTAGTAACCCAAGTTTTAAAATTTGTAACGGCAAAGCCATTATGTTCTGATGACTTATCGATCATTATTGAATAAGGGGCGGATTTCAGGTTGAAGCATGTTAATCATAGCTTATTGTGCATGAACTCAAAGTAATTAGCAGGGCATTAAACTCTTATTAAAGTCGTGCATTTTCATTTTACTGGTTATAAATTAAGTGTATTTTTTGGGGGATCTGATTTAAGTTCAGCTGATTGCTGTAGGAGCAAAAAATATGTTGTTCATTCATGATTAAGATTTATGATCTCAACCCTAAACTTATAGTCACATCATAGTTTTAACCTCTTGACCATATCGTTTAAGGTTAAATTTAATGTCTGTTTAGTGATGTGATTGTGGAATTACAGTAGAGTCTTTTGAGGCTGTTTTACTTTTAGCTATTCTCCCTTTAGCCACTCTTTCTGTATATTTCCCTTGGGCATTATTCTGTAGTGGTCAAACAGAATGAAACTTCTAAATGGTTTGAGTTTTGCATAATTCATATTAAAGTTCAGACTGGTTAAAATTTTCAATAACTTTTTAGAATCTTGGAAGAGACACTTTATAGTGGTCGTAGAACGACTAAAAAACGGCTACCTTCACACGAGTGCAATAGTATTTAAGTTAAGCGTAAATCAAATCAATGTAATTGTAGACTAACCTGTTAAATGCAATAATCTACTAAAAAGTAATTAATAACTACTAGCACAAGTTGATAGTTAACACACAACTTTGCACTAGTAGTCACACCATTGGAACATTAAGTAATTTTGTATTTAAATATTATTTGAAAAATTCAAAATGTTTTACAGAATAATTTAACCTTATTTAAAGAGTGCCTTTTGTTATTGTGTTATTAACATAATTTTATAACTGAATACTTAAAAGTTTCTCAATAAAATATAGTTCTTAAGCTAATATTTATGCATAAATTGCACCATTGTTTAGTTGACAGTTGGTATTTTATTTGTACTTACATATGATATATTTACATTTTTTGTACTGTTGGTTATACTTGCCGTGTCAAAATAATTTAATTTAATAAATTTTTTTCAATTTCAGTGTGCCTATCCTTTCAATCCAACATTTCAGAAAACTCCCTATTGCTCAGGTATGTTTGGTGCTTCACCTCACATTGAATAGCTTTGTAAACAAAGCTATGGATAAAGCACAAAACACTACCCGTCTATACTTTTTTGCACATACAGATTTCATCGCTAGTTTCCCTTATTTAATACAGAACACTGTAGTAGTGCACTCATCACTCATGGGTACTTTGGTATTAATACCTACCACATCTTCTAATGGTGGTTAGGTTAGGCTAGGAAATTTTTGTTATTTTAACTAATTAAAATCTTATTTGGAAGTCAATTTATCAGTGTGGTCGGTATAATAGTACCCACTCGCATGGGTGGTTTTCAGATTCACAGATTCAGAAACGCATCCATTCATGTTTGTTCAAGTCTGGTAGTTCTGAGTTTTGTTTTTATTTTATGTGGGGGAGGGGGGGTCCTGTCTTGACATGAGTGAGTCTACTGCATGTTTAAGGGAAATGCACATTCTCAAAATTCGGTAAAATATTAAATGAAATTTAAAAAAAATATTTAATCAGTAAACCCACTTAGAAAATGTTTGAATTAAAGAAGGGGGGGTCCTGTCTTGACATGAGTGAGTCTACTGCAATTTATTTTTAAAATAAATGCACATTCTCAAAATTTGGTAAAATATTAAATGAAATTAAAAAAAAATATTTAATCAGTAAACCCACTTAGAAAATGTTTGAATTAAAGAAAAAACAGCTGCGGATTTCAAAGAAATCATATAGGTAGCTAATCCAGACTATGTTTAATCTATGCCCAGACCAACAGATTATGCAGTTAGAAGTTAGAATATGGGAACGGGCTGAAAAAGCTCTAAATAAAAAATGTGTGAAGCCACAGAGAAGTAAGATAAAGATACAGAGGAAACATTAAATTCCACCTAACATTCAATCAACTTACAATTACACAAGTACAATTAAAGTCGTACCACAGGGTCGTACCAATCGCTTCTTGCGCTGCGCTTGTCTCTCTACATTGGTCTGGTCACTCACTAGTCACTGGTCGTCCCCTTCAGCTCTCCTCTCCCCCCTCACCCTCATGTACTATAGCGCTCACGCTGTAGGAAGAGCCTGTACAGTACTGCTGTTGTAAACAATAGCCGTTCGGGCTCTTCCTGGCTCGGTATTACTATATTTCTGCCCACCATTCCCGACCCGAGCTAAAAGCACACTGTTGACTGTTGTTTGTTCCATAAACATGTTTACTGCTTTCCTCTGTGTGGTGAAGCTTAGTAGAAGGGATCTAGATAGTCCTATGCATCCAAAATAAATCTACATGATTTATATATATATAAAATCATAATACAGTAACAAACAAAATACCCCCGCCACAGCAAACCTGCAGACTAAGCAAATTTCCGTCTACCTGATTGGATTTTCAATTAAATCTATTTAAATAACATTAGGTCTAACAAGTACCTAGGTTTGTGCCTACAGGGAGCGTAAAACAGTTTTTCAAGTAAAATATTAATAGCTTAGTAAAAAAATTGTCAACCATGGGAATTTTAAATTTACATTTTTTTAAAATTTTCTCCGTGACCAATAATAACCGTACAAAAACACTTTGATATACTAAATTATTTGTTGTTTTTTCCCCTCTTTAAATTGGTCTCTAAATAATGTAAAATGTTAGTGAGTAATTTTTAGCAACCGAAGGACCATTTAAAAATACCTGTACCACTAAATCGTTCCAAGATGAGACGTCGCTGTGAAGTGGGACCTTCAATCAGTCTGGTAGTCTTCATGGTATGGCGGACGAGGTGTTGAGACGATTACAATAATTCCACTGAATTTAGAGGCATAAAATACACGAGCGGTGAGAGAGAGACGTGGTCACTACCATGTTCAAGGCACATCTAACCCGACGCTGCTCACTATCTAGTCGATCCAGCTCATTAATTAGTGTATTAATTTAGATTTAATCATTTAGATTTAAATTTATTTATGAACATAAATTTATTAAAAGATTGAAAATAAAACATATATAATTGAAAGCCAAAATAAATATTTAAATTGAAATCTATTTTTTCCATTAAAGTGACGTCAATATTTTCATAGCCAAGCTTCGTAACCAAGCTTTTGTGATCTTAAATAATACACAAATACCATTAGCTAGCTACCTCCAAACAAAACAGCTGTTACTCATATCATATTGATATCAACTGTATATTAATGATATCAACTGTATCATATTAGTTACTTGCGATGTTGCCACATCGAAGGCCGCGGCCTAGAGTTAAAGGAGGTATTTGTGTATTTTTAAGAATACGGAAGCTTGGTTAATGCGATATGAAAATATTGACTACACTTTATATGTACAAAAAGAGATTTTCAATTTGAATATTGTTTTGGTTTTCAATTCAATATGTTTTATTTTAAACCTTTTAATACATTCATGTTCATAAATTTAAATTTAAATTTAAATACGCGAATTAATGAGCTGGTGTCACCTGCCTGCCGTTATCTTATGGGACGTCTAGTGCTAGACAACACTACTTGCAACGTTGCCAATTCTACCAGGCCGCGGACTGGAGTTAAAGGTGGCCGTGCTAACAGCCAAAAGTGTGAGCTGATTCCAGCCGAAAGCAGGAACACAAACTATTGAACATCTAGCTTAAAATTATTATTATATTGATTTGAATTGAAGCCTCCTGATTGCAAAATACTAAAGAATTGGTGTAAATGCCTGAATTTATGCGATCAAATGTGTTGCTAAATTGCTACCGGTTTCGACCCACATGTCATCTTTGGGCCAGTACAGATGCCTTTTCGCTTCATTCGAAGGTCGTAAATTCATAATAAATAAATACATTGAACACACACGTATACGAACATGAAAACTAACATTTGTTTAATGTTAAAAAGTAATTCACCTCATTTTAGAATTGAAATTTTTGTTATCGTTTAAAATACAGTTATTTAGTTTAGAGCTTAGATTTTTTTAATTTGTGTGCTCAAAAAAGAAAGTGCAGTGATTAGAACAATTTTACAATACCCATAGACTGATGATATTGTTAACTCTTCCCCCGATCACGGATCAATAGTCTATTCGGGGTCGTTAGTGAGGTTTTGATCAACATTCAGAGTGAGTGGCCTATCAATATAATCTGTTTTTGAGTTTGTTTCTTTGTTTATGGTGTTCCTTATTTCCATTGTTGGGTTACTTGAGCTCTTGATCTTGTTAAGCCCCGTTCACACGGGGCGAGTTTACAAGCTACACGCCGGCTTTTTTACACGCAGCTAGTAAAATAGCTCAGTGTGAACGACGTACTCGCTCAAAAGCTGCTTGTAAAAAAGCTCTGGAAAAAGTTGACGCTGCCGCTACTTTACACGCCAACTCGCCAGCTTTTGAGCGAGTAGGCGTGTAAAGTAGCCCAGTGTGAACACAGTTGCTTGTGCTTAAGTGCGCTTGTTACCCAAAGATGTTGGAGGATTTGGTTCAAGCCAGCTACTGAGCGAGTGGAAAAAGCATCGTGTGAACGACTACAAGCGCACTCGCCGACTCGCCGGCGTCTTTCTACACGTCTGCGAGTTGGCGAGTTGACAAGCTCCGTGTGAACGAACACAAGCACACTCGCCAACTCGCCGGCTTCTTACACGCTGGCGTGTAGCTTGTAAACTCGCCCCGTGTGAACGAGGACGGAACTTATCGTTCATAATGTACAAAAGGGCTGCAGCTGTTTGTACGGAACTACAACATTCAAATCGTTCCACTCAGTTTTGAGCCACAGCTGAAAAAGTAGTTCCAGTGGAACTGGAACTGGATTGTGGTTCCGCTTGGAATGGTGGAACGAGTTGGACTCTCGGAATGGTGGATGTAGATGTAATTCAATTCCAGGTTCCGTTCCAGCTCAGTAGCACAGTAGCTCAGTCAGTCTCAGACTCAGTAACATTCATTCCCTATTAAATTAACCTCAACGTCCTCGACGTCAACAACCTCAACCAAACGTTGTAAACAATACTAATCTACGACCTACGTATTTGTTTACTAGACGCGTCGCACATACTGATTAGTAAGTTAAAATTACCTAGACCCTAGACTTAATTATGTATTCATCTTTTACAAATTGTGCTTCTTGAATAAAAAGGTTCTGCTCAAAACTTGGAATTTAAATCTAGGCCTAGTCCTAAACCCAACTCCAATCCAAGTATTAAATAGGTACCATGACGATATTAAGGTAAAGATCATAGATGGCCAACCCGATTTTTTGAAGCAAGCAGACAAGTGTTAAATTTGTAAATTTCTTACCTTATAACAGAAAGAGGAACTCCATGTTTTAGGAAATGGCTTTAGGCACAACAACTGTTGCAAACCAGTTGCGCCTGGAACCAGTTTGCAACTGAAACAAAACTTCTGTACGCACACGGTGTGACTGTTTTACAACTACAGTTGCGTCTATTGTGCAATCAGTGGAGTGCAAATTTAGTGCAGTTACGATGTTTTAAGGCCTTTAAAAGTGTGCTTACTACGTCGGACTCAGACGAAGAAGACGTTATTAGCTATTATCAATAGGCTACCGAAGACAGCGACGGGTACTGAGAGAGCATTGGGTTCACCCTTATTTGAGCAAGAATGTTAGTACTAGGCTGTTTGTAGCAGCTAGAGCTAGTCGGATAGGAAATTATAAACACTAATATCACTATACGGCCGTCAAAATACCACCAAACACCACAAAAACACCCCGTGGTCTCGTGCAACTGAAGTCTGCAACGTCGGGCCCACGGTTACATGCAACTGGTTTCAAATGTTTTTTGAAATCGCATACAACCAGTTGCGTCGTGTGCGCTTCCCCACTGCAATACATTGCCGAGGTCACAAAACAGTTGCATTCGCAACTAGTTTGCAACAAAAAGTTGTAAAACAGTCACACTGTGTGCGCTGGGCCTTAGGGATCTAGGCTAGAGGAGACTCCTTTGGGTTGTTTGTTTTAATGTGCTTGTTGTTTCATATCATACTTGTGTTTTATTTAACCATGAATAATCTACAAAAGGTTTTGGTGTAAGAAAACATTTACTAAAAGTTATCGGCTTGTTACAATCTTTATCAATTAATTATTATCTATGTACTGTGTTTTGTTATGTTTACAAATATTTTTCCACATTTTATGTGTTTCTATTGTATTTGTTTTCTGTACTATTGATTTGATTACCGTACTGTTAATTTCTTATGTAATGTCCAATTGATATAATGTATAATACACTGTAGATGTTCATGATATAAACTTTAAGAATTAGGCCTACTGTATTACTTTATTGTCAAAAGTTAAGGAGGAGGAAATATAATAGGCTACATGCAGTACAGAGGAAATATACTATATACAGAGGAAATATAATATTAATTTATAATGTTTTTAGATTTGTTTATTGGCTACAGTGATGTAACGGATTTCATTAAATTCATACTGTTGGTTGACGATTTAAATCTAACCAATCATCAATAGTATCCTATCCCCCAACTGTCCAGGATGATCCATCTCTTTGGCCTCAGTTGTCCCCCACCTTCACCGGCATCACCATCTAACTCTATCCTTTCTCTCTATAATGTCAACCGGCAATAGTTTGAGTTACAATTTGAATTGTTCTTTCACCCCGGTCCTTATGAGTTCCTTCTAAGTGTTAATTTAAGACAACAAACATTCCAGTCCTAAATTATCAAAGTATTTTTTCATTTTTCTTATAAATCAACAGATGTTTCTTATAACAAAACCACTAACTGAAATTAATGTTTTCAGTAAAGCTGGTTGGTCTCTGAAACCTAATCTATCTTATCAGCTGAATTGTGTGTCGATGGGCAACCTGCAGAAGATGGAAGATTATGGACCTAATGTGAAGTATGTAGGCTATAAGCAATAAAGGTCTAGCCTATTAATAATTTTAGTTAACCGGCGCATAGTAAACTCTGTAGTGGCAAGGCAATTTCTGCTACTTTGCAGACATGTTTTTGAATATAAATTAGATCAATAGAGCAACCCTAAGTTATTGAACCATAGCCTATACTTGATTTGTGCATAATATGAAGAAGAATTTGAAAATTGTAAAACTATAAATATTAAGAAAAGTTATTTTCAAAATAAAGTAGAAAAACTAAGGAAGAAGAAAAATTCTTCTAGTAAAGTTTAAAAGGAAAACTTTGTTTTATGAACAGGTGATTTTGTACGTGAAATCCATAATAGACAAATGTTTCGTATTTATTTCCCTATAGAAAAATGTAAAATGTTCTAAACACAATTAGGTATTTTTTTTTATAACCTTAATAACCTAGGTACTCGTTAAACCTAATGTTATTTAAATAGATTTAATTGAAAATAAATTCAAACAAATGGAAATTCCCTTATCCGGTAGGTTTGCTGCGGCAGGGAGTGTTTGGTTATATTTTGATCAAATTTGGCAAACTGAGCTATTAATGTTTTACAAAAAATAATCTTTATTTGGTTCCCTGTAGCAGCAAACTTAAGTAAATCATTAAACCTAACGTTATTTAAACAGGGAATACATTTTATATTTTTAAGGAAATAATCTAATTTAGATTGTAATAGGCGAATAGAAATTTGCTTAGTCGGCAGGTTTTCTGTGGCGGGGATATATTCTTTTTAGGATTTATTTGTTTTATATTGTAAAAATAATGTGTAAACAGTGAGGGCAACATTGTTAGGAATCATCATTAGGATTATTTATGATTGATCCTTCATTCTGAGTCTCGTAGGGGGAGGGGGAGATTTAAAGTCTGTCTAGGGTCAGAATAAATAGCCAAACACAAGCCTTGACAAAGCATTCTTTTTTGTTATGGTTTTGATTAGATTTTGTTTTTTGTACCTATGCTAATGGCCCAGTTAATTTATATTTTTTAAATTTATGCGAGTCCGAAGATTTTTATGCTATGATTGACAACTTATAGGCACATACTGAACAGGTCAATATCAGTCACTGGATTGCAGATCATTACATTTTTTGTTGCTAATAACCGTAATAATGTTGAAGAGAAAAAATTAATGAATTAGACTTATTTTTTGACGTTCAAATTAGTTGTAATTTTAAACAGATTTTCATAATTATTTCTATGCTAGGTATTAATCACAACTAATCATCAGGTTATCATTTGTAAATACGGTGTATTTCATTACCTCTAGTTTGTTTAACATTTTTATAATTGTTAGATTTCAATCTATGTTAGCTTTTGTCTTAGGTACTCATAAAACTTGTTGTTTTCAGTGGGTTTGTTAAAAAATGTTCGGCTGGGATCCTAAGTCAATATGAACCAGATTGCAGACGGCAGGTAGCCTGCTTGAACGAGTTTTTGTAAGTTTGGGTTTGTTATTATGGAAAGCTTAGTTATTATAACACAGTATATTTATTTAATGTATGGAAACACTCCAATAAGAATGGTGTTGCGTTGTTTGGCACTTAAAGAAGAGGTGCATTGATATCTTACATTCAAGGGAAGTCCCTATAATAGTTAAGTTTTGACTGCCAGAATTATATTTCTTACTACTAATTAATATTTACTTCAATCAATTACAGCAGTGGGAATATTTTAAGGCTGGATTTGAAATGACCCCTTGTGGTGGATTATAGAATATTCTTAAAGCTATCTAGAAGTCAGATAAGGGTTCTAGATTCAACACATCAAGAGATAATTAAATGAGAGATAATTTTATGATTGCACCTAATACCTATCGCATTACTTTTGTGATGAAAAATGTTACTTGACTATAACTGTTCAAAACGATGTTTGCAACTCCTTTTTTAAACAGAAGAATGGAATAGCAGTGAAAATGTTACATGTCAATACAATTACTGTCACTGTTACACACTATACAAATATTGTTCTTACAGGATGAATATAAAATAATAGCTAATAAAATGAAGCTACAGTATACAGAGTGCAGCAAAATAACCGATCTATTTTCTGCAGTGCACTGTTCAGCGACAGGTCGAACGAAGGCATTGGGGGTAGGCTCGTTGGAAAGCCTACACACTGTCATTATCTGTAGTCATAGAACAGTGGTTGTCTGAGCATCATCTACGTTTGTCATTAAGTCGTTTTTAAGAAATAATGATTCAGTGATTGCATCTCAGAGGCAGTTTCATGCATTCTTCCAATTAGGTCGACATGAGAGGTTCCGTTGCAATTATCCATATAGATAATAAAAAACTTAAAACTGATGAATCAAATTTATCTGTATTGATGAAAATTATTAAGATCACATCAAAATTCATGTATCTGAACGGTCAGACATGTTCAAAGCAGACGCTTGTTTTATTTTCACCCGGGTCTACGGGGACTGTTTTCCACAGGAGCCTAACTCTATCGAATGTTTATTTGTCTGGCGTCTGATCTTTGGACAGTCTGTCAGCTTCTTTTTCAACGAGAAGACGTTTTTCTAAAGCAAGTAACCCACCCCACGATTGTGCTACGTGACGGAATCTCTCCATTCGTTATGTATGAAGAGAAACATTTACAAAAATCAAATGCGATATTTTCCAGACCTAATTGGAAGAATGCATGGAACTGCGCTGAGTTGCAATGACTGAATCATTACTTTTGAAAAAGGACTTGATGACAAACACACGTTGTTCAGACGACCACTCTTCTACTTAACTGCTTTTATAACCATTGACTGCTATATGATATATGATTTTATATTCATGATCATAATTTAATGTCACTGTTAACACCCAATGGACCATTGAATATAATGCTAAAACTTTTTGAGAATAAGGATGGTATGAGGTGAAAACAAATGTTAAAAATTTTTTGAAAAGATTTGAAGACCATCCTAGTTCAATTTTAATTTATCTTTTAATAATTTTATACATTTTTTAGAGCTAAACAAAACCAGCTGTTGAGTACTATTGATTCCGAACTGGGAAAGTTTAGTGCTTTGGACAATCTACAATTAGATGATATGGTAAGTATAGATTAATCTTTAAAGTGATGTTTTTCTAAGTCAAGGGTGCTTAGCTTGAGTATAAGGAGATGTGATTTTATATTTTACTAAGATATAGGCCTACAGGGTGTCCACAAGAGATTAGTAAAATTTCATACATTACTGTAACCATCCATACTGTTACTTTTCAACATAGGATGTTCTGCCTGTGTTGGTTGCATCAGCCATATTCTAAACATAACTTTTATTCATAATTGTTGCTGAGCTGTAAAGGTGGTGCAGTGCACCGGTGTTGTGCCTATTGACTGTTAGCTATTCTGTACCACACTCTTCCTTACCGACATACAAATAAGTAGTCAGATTTGCTTATGTCGAGCCTGGAAGTTCCACGGTCTGTACAGCAATAATTTTGATCTGGATATTTTGCTATCTTATAAAGCTCAGAATGTCACCTGACCACAGGGGGTCAACGATGCCCACTCACTCATTATCGCTTTATTATTTCTGCGCCGTGCTTTGATATTTTAGGGTCAGTAAGTCCTAAAGTTGTTATATAGACTGACGTCTAACTTGTTAAAGGTGATATTTTAACTTGGCCCTTTAATTATTTAGTTCCCTTTAAAACAACTCTAAGCTATATTTTAAGCCTAGGTATCAAAAGTGCTAGGCTTATTTCCCGGTTTTGGTAATATTTGCCTTTCAGCTGGTTGATTGAAAAAATATTGGTTTTTCTGCACTTTTAACAATGGGCGACTTAAACATTTTATAACAAAGAAACTACTGATCTAATTATCATGAAATTTTGACGGCTTTTAGAACATATACTCGAAAAGTAAATAAAGAAACGTATTATAACACTTAAAATATATATTTACGCTTATACTGTTACTCACAAGACGGTAAATATACAAAAAAGGTGGTAAGTGGTGATCGATTTTGATTGGACACTCAAAGTTCATCATCAGACCCAACATTCACCTATTGGGCTTTCTATCTATTTATCTACATAATTTCCGTCAATATTGGGGCACTTGTCATGATGTTGTACCAGTTTTTGAATAGCCTCCCCATAGTCTGCTGTCTGACTTGTCAACCACCGCATCACAACTGTTTTGTCTTCGTTCTTAAAGACGCTGACCGCCCAGATGTTTCTTCAAGTGCAGGAATAGATGGTAGTCACTGGGTGCCAGATCAGGGCCGTACAAGGATGATTTAGAGTTTTCCATCGAAAACTACCTCTATAAATTTGAACAAATGGTGTTTTTTGTCTCTGGAGACATCAAAATGAAAAAGTAAATCGGTCCCGGGTCTAGGTCTTACCGTACGGTAATAGCTACATCCCTGTAGGGAAATTCGCTAAAACACGCCTTGTAGTATAGGTTTTGAGATTTTGTGATCACTTTTATGTGGCTTGATTTAAATTTGAATTTAATGAAACCTCTTATGTTTCCAGATGTCAATAATTAGGACTTGCAAACATCGCTTACAAAACATCAAGGAACGAATGCGAAAAGCTAGCATAAAAACCTCCAAACTAAAGGTTAGTATTTAAAAGTACACAACCCTAAACCTCTAAACAATTTTCCAATCAATTTTTGTGCAATAACTAGGGTACCAATTGAAAATAGTATTTGTTTTAAGTTTTAAACCAAACTAACAGACACATTACACCATGTGGTTTCCATGGTAACCATCTGTTTTGGCCAGTTTGAAAAGTTATACTTTTACCAAATGGGTTCATGTTAGGTGATCTTGACATTAATTCTGAATCTTTATTTGTGTTATGGTACGGTACTAACTGTCCTTAGAAAAAAAATTAAAAAGAATGTGTGGTAAAACAATGATAATAATAAATGGAATAAATAATAATATAAAAAAAACAAAATTAAAAATAATCCTTGAAAATTATTTTAAATATATTTTTAAACCCCAACTGTTTGTTACTATAAAATTCTGATTTTTGTGGTGAAAGACAGTGAATTTCTGTTTTCCTAGCTGCCGAATACGGCAACGTGATGGTAAATAATGTTCAGATTTTCTAGTGTGTGTTTTGGCCTTTTCCTAGAACTGCGATATTCAATTGCAAAGTAGTTTTAGTTGTCAAGTGTCTTTTCATACTAAAAGTTGCAATGCTTACGACAAATAAATAAATAAATTTAAAAAATTAAAATAAAAAATTTTAATTTAAATTAAAATAATGTGCGCTGTATTGTCAACCCTACATAGAGGACTTACATGGTGAAACTGTTGCATTATTAACCATAAGTTTCATATACAGAAAAAATAACCAATACTGTATATTCTCCATGTGTAAAAAAGGTGTTTTTAACTTGTAATTACCAAACAATTGTTAGATGACAAAACAAAATTCATAGCATATTAGTCAGTATTATTTATGGTCTTTTACTTTTGTAACTTCACTGCTTATTTTCCATTTTATTTCTATGTGCTAAATTTTACTGTGCTGTTTTTTTTTTTTGCAATTGTTGTTGAACTGAAAAAAATGTTTAAGAAGCAGTCGTCAGTCTCACTGCCCGCTACGGAATGCAGTACCTGCTGAATTTGGCGGTTAGGAAAACGTTTGTTTCTTGCCCTTGTGTATTGGGTTAGTGAAAAAAATGCAGCCGTATTCGGTAGCCAAACACAGTAGCTAGGAAAACCGGACTTAACAGTGCAAGTTACATGGACAGCTCAATGGTGAATGCTGTAATAGTATAGTGCAGGTGGCGAGCCTAACACGCTACCACTGAGCCACCCATGTGTGAGGTCGCTATTCTCTCTTGTAATTAAAGTAGTGTTTTTAAATATTTTGATTTTAGCTACTCATAATTTATAGGTAAAATTATTACAGTAAATGCACCATTTTTAACGTAGGCAAGCCTTGTAAAAAAGTAAATTGTTTAATAATTATTACATTGTCTCTTTGTATTATTTATTGTAAGCTTTACTGATGTATTCAGGCAAGGAGTTTGAAAATTCAACAAATAAAGCAGAAAGAGGCCTTGGATCGGGAGCTGAAGCGCGAAGCTCAACTGACAAGAGAACAGGAAATGGTCTCAAAATCCCCCTCCTTCACTAACTACTGTCCAGAGAATACGTCCAAAGCTCTCCCTCCGAAACCACCGTCAGTTCATTCTTTGTGACAGTTGTAAACCAGGACATTAAATTGTTTTCCTACAGTTACCTAACAATATACATGTTCTCTCACTGATTTGAGAAAGCTAAGTGGCCAATTCGCTCACCAGTGAGACTTAACATTGTCTCACTCCAGATTTGCAACGTGAAGGCACGAAATAGTGAGCGTGTAACATGCAGACAAGGTCGTATGCGCGCGAAATACGTTGGCAGCACTGGCTGTATATCAGCTGGTCAGCTGTTGTATCATGAAATATCATATTAAAAGTTCACTTCTGTGTTAAAATATGTTATGTTTCTTTACCAATTTATTTGTTTTGTGGTAACTGTAGGAAAAATGTAATGTGCAATTCGAGTGCAAAGTGCAATTGCCTCACTCGAGAAACCATTCCTCACTCGCCTACGGCGAGTATTTCTCTCGAGTGAGTCAATTGGTTACTTTGCTCACTAGTTGCACAAATAACTATTAGTTACGTTTACTGCAAATGTAATGGTTCTAAATGTTATGTTTTGGGAATACTATAACAGCTGTTTTACTCGTGTACGTAGTTCGTTGTACATTTATGGCCAGCAGTTTGAGATTGAAGGTTTTATTTTACTGTATTATGGAGGAAGACTCAATAGTGCTGTCATATGATAAAATGTTTATAGAACAATTAAATCACAAAAATTGTTTAGTTTTCAATCAATATTTTACATAACAGCCTAAATCCTGATGAGCTTAATACATTTTCTACTACTAATTAACGAATCTAGGAAATGTAATCAATATACATAAAATATATTTCAGGGTGCTGTGGTGCTGATCTTACTAACATTCATGTAAATATGTATCCTTGAATTAAATATAGTGCACTTCTAACAATTAAGAGGTTTGTACTATTAACTTAAAGGAATATATTTAAAAACATGGACGATGATGTGATAAAATGCACTTTAAAAAGTTATATACTTGGTACGCTTTGCCTTCTTTTTGGGGAATCGATAAAATTTTAACATTATCATCTACAGTACTTGATAATTTAACTTGGAGGCTGGTAGGCCTAATTTAGGAAAAGAAAAACATACAGTAACCACCAACAGTGCTTTGTGTTGTGTCAGTTGGCTAACCTGTCGGATATTTTTATTTCAAACTGACAATTTCATATTAAAGTATTATTATGAAACTGTACGATAAATAATTTTACACAATCACATTATCATTTTACGACGGCGCTAAAGGGCCATATTTTTACGCAAATTTGTGTTTTATACACAAAATTTTGAATTTTAAACTTGAAATTTTGACTTTTAAACACAAAATTTCAACTTTTAAACACAAAATTTATGTCATTGGTGGAGGGGATTGATGACAGCTGTACTATTCATATCACGAGGTGCTAGGTGTTGGAGTTGGAGAAGCTTACGCATTGTCGTATAATGGATGAAGGTCACATAGAACGCCTTATCCAAGATTATTTTTGATCAGGGCTTCATAATGCAGAGATTTTAGCTATTTTACTCTCAAAAAATAATATTTAAATAAGTGAGACACAGTTGAAACGGAAACTGTCAGGGTTGGGACTTGACTAAATGGAAGACGAAACTATTCAGATCTTCAAGCAGTTTCTTCCTTTATTCAAAACGAAGTGAGGGGATCTGCATCTGGACGGCTCCATGACTATAAATGGATGCATTTAAATGCATTCAAGCTGGATATATCATACAACCATAAATTAAACATACTCGTTAATGTTAATCTATGCTACAACGAACATAACTCCAGTCCAACTCCCAATGCAATGAGGAACTGAGGAAGACCCGCGTTTCCCCTTCCCCTGCAGATTTTGTGTTGAAATATCAAAATTTCGAGTTAAAAAAAGTCTAAATATCGTATTTAAAAGTCAAAATTTGGAGTTTAAAAGTCAAAATTTTGTGTTTAAACACGAAGTTGCGTAAAAATATTTCTTTCTCTATGGCCCTTCAGCGCCGTCGTATCATTTTCACTTTTGATAAGACTGAAGAAAGATTGTAAATAGTACCACATGAAAATCCGTTGACCGAAGTGGAGCTATACCTAATGTGCCTTTGTTTTACAAGGATTTCAAACTGTTAATCCTGATACTATTAAGGTTGATAAATTATAATGGTTTTATTATGTTGGTTTATTAAAAAATTAAATAAATTATGTTTCCAAAACCGTATGGATTTTTTTGAATACTCCCAAGCCTTGTTTTCTCTATAGTTGTGAAATGCCCTGTGTCAAATTACACTGCAAATTACCGGTGTATTTATATTTTCTATTCAAGATTATAACAATTGTAACAAGAATGTCTTAAGTGTACAGCAGAATAGCACTGTAATAAAAATCATCAGTGAGACTAATTGTAAGATGACAGTGATGTTGAATAGTTAGAACAGTGAACAGTATTGAAGTTACCACACGTTATACATGTAACTTGTATGATTGCTGCTGACGTTAACAGTTATCAAAGCAGATGAAAGGGTGCGCCTAGGCGCTCTCCAATGTTCACTGTTAAAGGAGAAGACTAGAAGCATTGAATAAGAGGCTTGCTCATAGAGAAAGCCTACGTTTCAGGGATTAAGGTCGTACCCACCCCTCATTGCCATCAACCCCTAACTTTCACTTTTGCTAATTACCAGGAGAGTTTTGTTTTTGTTGTGACAGTTTCTATCACCTCGATCGCAGCAGTTATGAATACAATTATTTTTGTAACGTTGTCACTGTTGTCAGAACTGGTAGAACGAGTGAGTGAAATAACGCTAATCCTGTCTTCATTAACAGCGAGTATCATAAAACAATATAGTACCTCGGTAATAGAACTGATTTCACATACTGTAATACCGAAAGGCTGAAGAATGTTCCTGACTATTATTGCAAAGTAGGCTAACGTAACGGTATTTCCCATCTCTACTTTTAGATCATCTGATAGGTTTGGAAAAGCCAATGAGATAAGTATAAAAGAAGCGCTTTGCATAGGCTTCTCCAAACTTTTTTTTTTAAATGTTCGTTCATACAAAGCAGCAACTAGCACCAAACTTAACTGTCACGATATCATGTAAAACCGATTAATGCACAATTAAATTCAAGTTTTGTTGGAATTGGCCGATTAATACTTAAGATTAATGATGCTAACCCTTTGAAATTCATGAACTATTTAGTTACACAGACATCCTAACCTAACTTAACCAAGGTGCAACTCCCCATCCCATGAACTTGGCCTCTCCCACCCATCTCTACCACAGATAGGCAAATTGGTGAACTTTTGAGTTGCACCCCAAACCTAACTGGGGTGGTTTTCTAACCCTCAATGCTATCTCCTAGCCGTTCGGCCAGGCTTTGAACAATCTACTGCACTAACGACACTATTTGACAAAACGTCCAAGCAAAGTAGTTTTCAACTTGAATCCCAGACTGCATCACATGTCAATTATAGCTAGCAGATTAATCCCGTTTTGTGATTGGATTGCTGTGGTCTAAAGCATTTGTTTAATCTTAATGCCCGTCGACGAGATAGCTAAAACTTATAACCTCAAAATGTTAAGACAACCTCCTTATCATTGTGAATTAAATCCCATAGAATTGGTCTGGAGCCAAAAGAGACACGTTGCAGAAGTGCCAGATTTACCACTAGGCCGTGGCCTAGGGCCGCAACGGTTTGACAACAAACTTTTTTTATTATCAATTTTCTGCGATTGCGGGTGACAATGATGATGTCGCCATGATTGAGGCCCACAAGAAATAAATGTTTATGATTTCGCCATGGTGGCTGGTGTCGATGATGATGTCCCAGTCGTTGCGGCCCACAGGAGATGTTTAGACTATGATTTTTCCGCGGTCGTGGGTGTCGATTAGCTCAGTTGGTGTCTAGTGAGAGGTTTCTGCTGTACTCCGTTGAGTTGGGGTGACAGTTTAAAATGTCTGTGTTGATTGAAAATGCCGTGAACTGTGAAGTGGGTGCAGTTACTAAGTTTTTTACTGCAAAAAACTGTAAACCGATAGAAATTTATCGGCATCTTTGTGAAGTTTATGGGGAAAACATTATCACTGAAGGTGGAGTGCGTCAGTGGGTCATAAAATTTAATGACTGAACTAACGTTCACGACGAAGAGCGAAGTGGAACACTCAGCATTGTGACTGCTGAACTTGTAGAAAAAGTAAAGGCTGAAGTCTGTATAACTCGAAATTTCACAATAAAGGAACTCTCAATGGGTTTTCCACAAATTTCGCAGAGTTTCTTGCACGTGATCAAAACCGAAAAGCTTGGTTACGAAAAGTTTTGTGCAAGATGGATACCGAAAATCTTGACAGAGAGTCACATCAGCGAATAGCTGCAGCACTAACATTTCTAGATGCTTACGATAAAGATGGTGACTCATTACTAGTATGCATAGTTTCTGGTGACGAAACATGGGTTAAACATATGAACTGCGAGACGAAATTGCAGTCAATGCAGTGGGGGCACACAGATTGCCCCCAACCCAAGAAATGCATGCAAACGATGTCGGCAAGGAAGGTGACATGGCGATTGTTTTTTGGGATAGGAAAGGTGTAATTCTTTTGGACTTCCTGGAAAGAGGCACTACAATAAACTCTCTAAGGTATTGCCAAACCTTTGAAAAGTGGTATTTAAGTGTGTCTTTCATTTGTATATAATAAAATATTTCTCAAAGACTTTGTTTATCCTTAATTCCAAAACATAATCTTTTTTCTGGATAGCCCTCGTATTTAGTTTGTATATAAATGTAATACAAAGACTAGTCCAACAACAACTGAAACAAAAAGCTTGAAAAAATACAATTATTGCTTATTATGAATACCAGATTTCACTTTACAAATGCTTAAAAATTGTGTTTAGAGAAATAAATTTTTCTGGACGAGGATCCTCCATCTACCTCCTGGGGGGTACCCAGCCCCCCCCCCTTGACGAAGTCTAACTATGCTTAACAATGGCAAGCCTGTTAAAATTTGAATACAATACAGTTTGGAAGGTAAAGATTAAGAAGATAGGTGTAAGACGTGGGGATAAAAGATCAAACAAAAACTTTATAAAACATTTCAACTTTATTTATCTGACAAATGCCAGATAAAAAGTTCTAACAAACTTAAAAAAATATTTCAGTATTTTAAATAGCATTTACTTACGTCCTTAATACATTAACAGAAAAATCAATATAAGCTAGCCAGAAAAAGGCTGACTTTCCAAAACATTAAGTATTAAGTATCAATAAATAATATCAGTAAAGTTATTATGATGAGAAATCGTAAGCATGACGAACAAATCTGAGTGACTATATTGAAATGTTTAGGAGATGCCTTAGTGTATTAAAAGAAACATGTAACTCATACAATGTGGTAAATATAACGTACAAATTATATCTAAGTAAGACAAAATGTTTGAACTCAATTAACTAAACATACACAACAATAAAAGAAACACTGGTTGTAAGATTCACTTTTGATCGCCAAATAACTTCTTTTACGACTCATCAATGTTGATGGTTTGAGTGAATCTCTTAAACAAACAAGGAACTTTAGAGATAACTAAAATAGCGAAACAAAAAATAACACACAATTAAGTATCTGTCTCAATTACATGTTTACATCTCACTGTTTTGCTAACCCTTCAAGAAGTGCTACTTTTAGACACATCCTCCTAAGTGCCATGTGAAACTTATTCTCAGTTTCATTAAAATATACACAACTAGAACTGGAACCTACTCCTTAGTTAGGTGGGCAGCTAAAAATGTATTTGCAGTTAGGAATAGACAAGACATTGTGTGTACGTACTGTAAACACCATCACGGATGAACCATGTACAATATGTTTTGCCACACTACAACCAATAAGCGGGGCTTGTAAACCCAACACATATATACAATTACAACATTGTTTGAGATACACTTTTTAACAGCATTTTCAAACTAAAAATTAAACCAAACAAATTTCAAATTAATATTTAATAAAATAAAAAAAACTATTTTCAAAAACTCTTTTAATATTTATTATGAAAGTGAAATCTGCCTGTCCACACATTTCCAATATTTATCGTATAGCTTTGTTAGGTTTAGAGCCTACTTAAAACTCATATTACGCCCATTTGAAAGAGTGTCGTAAATTTACTGTACTCCATCTGATTTTACTATACCCTTTCTGTAAGCATAGACTCTTTGGTTTACAAAGAGTACAGAAACCAGATACTTACTGTGTAGTGTGGCGTAAAGGAAAAGAAATTTACAAAAAATTCTAAAACAAATATGGAAATCTTAGGTAAAACTTGTATCATATATGTCTAACTCAAATGATTTATTTTAAAGGTGGAAAAGTTTACTAGTAGCCCAACTAATGCTTAGTGAAACAATCATGAATTAACATTTACAATAATAGAAGCCCTTCATGGTAATTGTGTACCTATTAGCAGTAATGTGTAGTTACTAAACGTAAATATTTACATTTGGTCTTTTTAAGTTTCACAAATGGTATCAGTTTTTAACTTTTAAGCAGCTAATTCGAAAAACTAAGAATGTTATACAACTATGTGTATCTATCATCTTGATATACCATTGATTTTGATTATATAACCATTTTTAAAAATACTTTGTTACTTCTGTTTCAAAGTACAGTTAGTAGCTACTGGTGATAACTAATGGCACATTAATTTATACATCGAAAGTAGCTGCGCACTGCACTTCTCAAAGGGTTAGCATTTCAATAATTAGATGTCCATCACAAACTCCACAATCTCACGTTTGGTTATTTTTAGCACCAAAAACGGACTGACAAACAATAGTAACATGAATACCTAATTTTACATGTATTAAGAAAATATTTTTTTTTAATCACACGAGTTAGTCCACAGTAGATACCTAACTAACAACATACTGTACAGAAAACTATGTTAAACTTCTTGGTATCTCCAAATCTTGAAAAAACTTTAAATGCTTGACAAACATCGACAATTGAAAACAAAGTCCAAATGTCCATATTCCTTGGACCTCTTGACAACCTGAAACAAGGAAATGTATTAAGATTAAGTTATTGACTCTTAAGTACAATGCTTTCATAGCTAAGATCAGGATTTATTCACATTTCTCCCAATTTGTCAGAAACTGTTACTTTTAGGGGTCTGTGGTACAGTGGCGCAACAGATTTTTTCAGGGCCCCTGCAACCCTT